AAACTCCGATTTCGGAGGTTTGGCGTATAGTACGCAGAATCTCCGAAATCAGAGTTTTGTCGCCAGGCGCAGACACTCCAAAGATGGAGTAACTACATACATGATTCAATTCATTCAAGTGAACTTATTGCTTCATCATCAGTATTAACATCAGACGCATAGGGAGTGGAAGGATGGCTGGGATCTGCTGAGGGACCCACTGGGTTCATCCAAAGTTTCACAGCATATTTACTTAACTCTTTCCCACAATATTCCCTTACTCACCAATCCTTCCACATCAAACACATTTCTTCTACACCTTTCAACCAAATGTCACGACATTGACTGGACATAAGACACAGAAACAAAATATATATAAAATCAACTGGTTTTAATTAAATTAAAGTTCGTTTTGCATATCCAATGACAAAATGTTGTGCTACCTCCCAGAATCTTTATCACTGTAATAGTGCATTCGAAGTACAGATCATCTACTAAGTCTTGCTAACTGCTAGGGCTTTTCCCACTCAGTCTGCAATATCACTTTAGTATATTTGGTACGTAAGTCTTGAGTATAGGCTACTTGGCTCTACCTCCTCCGACCATCTATAAATGAATACAACATTTATATAGAATGGTATGCTAATGGTATTCCTTTTCTATCAAAATACGCTTTAACATATTATACATAGCATATATCCTATACATAGCATATATCTATATATGTATATACATATTGAAGGTAAGTATTCCCATAACATATCAAAATACATGCACTATTAGTACTACTACCCTATATATGCCAATAGGTAGATATTGTGATTTATCAACTATTAACAGTACTCACGGTCAATTCTTTACTTCATTTCTTGATTCAAAAGTACTGTGAAGCTCTCTTACTTCAGCTATCACTCACGTATAATTACTTTAAGCTTTTACATATAAGCCTTGTACTTTTATCTTAAAATGTGCCTCGACTGATATGTCCTTTAACCGACACTCCTCAGTCCACATATTTCCTTTAAGATATTCTCTCTTCAACTCCTGGCTAGATACCTGTAAACTAACCATTTTAAATACATTTGCATACTTTTACACTCCACTTAAATGCACGAATCATACACTGCCACTTTGCCTTAACCTCATTAATATTCATGTAACTTATTTCCATTCACAGTCCGTTTTAACTTGAGTCATACAACTATGCATATTCATTAGTTCACGATTCAGTTAGCAGTGCTGCAAAGTAGAATGAAATATCCTAAATATTGTGACAAATATCTCTTGGGCATAGTTTCTCACCAGGTATGATAGTTGGTGGAGGGTTGATCAAACGTTTATAGTAATCCATGGATACCACTTTTAAAGATTTAGTAGTCCTCTTGTTTGGATATAGGTCACAAGGATCACAACACTTTCATTTGAGAGTAGAGTACTTTGAAAGAAGAACTTGCTCATGATGTAGGCATATTGTGCGTATATCCCCAAGCTCTATCCTACTACGCAACATTAACAACTTGAACTCTTTAAGATTGCCCTAAAAGTAATCAGGAGACAGAACTGCAGTGTGAAATTGATAAGAATCTGTTAAAAATGCAAGTTGATACCACAGCTGGACAATGTACATGTAGGCTCCGTTTGCTCACCTTCTGTATTCTTAATACACAGAATTTACTAGAAACTTTAAGGTAGGCCTATATTCCATCCCAATTTGCTCAAGTATAAGAAAGAAAACCCGTCCAATTTTGTTATATGTTGTAGTTGACACATAGGGTTACATTTTTCATAATGGTGTCAAAGAGTTTGGGCATGTCCCACAGTGTAAATTTCAAGGTCAAAATATGGGTCAATAGGTCAACCAACTCAAAAGTACTCAAATGCACAAAATAATGCCAGATTTAGATTCCTTAGGGTCTTTCCTTTACAAAAATGCTTTGTTTTTTTTAAATCGGACCTGTGGTTGCCAAGTTACAGCAATTTGAAATTTGGCGGCTACGCCCTTTTTCGCTAAAAAATTTTAAAAAAAATGAAATTGCCATAACTCGAAAACCATTGGCCCGATAAATCTACCTATATTCTAAATTTCATCAAAATTGGAGGAGGTGAGGTTTAAAAATGCCATTTTTTTGGGGTGATTCGAAAGGAATTTTGGGTGACAGGATCAGCACTAAATCTTCTTAAATCATACTTGACAAAGCGTACCCAGCGGATTATTGTTGGTGAAAGTGTTTGTAACAAGTTTGATTTAACATGCGGCGTCCCACAAGACTCCTGCTTGGGGCCACTCCTACTTACCCTGTACACAGCACCTCTTTTCAAACTAATTAATAATCATCTCCCAAGTGCACACTGTTACGCTGATGACGCACAATTATATGTGTCCTTTGATCCAGGTTCGCCAGATAGCGTACGCGAAGCTATCTCCGGTACCATAGCCTGCATGGGTGACATTCAGGAGTAGATGTATGAAAATAAGCTTCTAACAAGACTGAGCTTATGATCATTGGCACCAGGCAACAATTATCAAAGATTGGAGACCTAAACATTAACATGGGAAGTGTTGAGCTTAAATGAGTCAAACATGTTAAAGATCATGTCCATGAAAATGAATATCAATCAAATCTGTTCAAAGAGTTTTTATCACCTTCACAATATACGTTGATCAGTAGATTTGTCAACAACACTGCTTTCACAAGTCTTGTCACGCCTTCATTACAAGTAGACTAGACTATTTAAATATCGTTCTGTTAAATTATGGAATAATCTGTCATCTGACCTTCGTTGCAATATTCATTCACTTTCCTTACAATCCTTTAAAAATCTCATTTAATTTCCCCTTTTGTTTTTCTTTTCTGTTTCTTGTATTTATATATATATATATATATATATATATATACTGTTTATATATATTCTTTATGAATTTTTCTTTTAATTTTATTTTGTTATATAATGTAGTTTAAGATAATACCCTGGAGGGAAGAACAGTGTAACAATACTGACTGAGTATCCAGAATAAAGAAAGATTTCTATTCTATTCTTATTGCAATAGTTTATTATATGGATTACCTGACTGCCATTTAAAAAAGCTTCAGCGAGTTCAAAACGCTACGCTGGCTGCCAATTGAATACCGCATTAACTTCAAGATACTATTAATTACCTGGAAATGTATTCATGAAATAGGCCCATACCTTACCAATATCATTGTAGTCAAGCCATCAGGCTTTTAATTCTTAAGGTCATCAACTGATGTCTCCTTAGTATTCCCAAGTGGTAGAATGTTGAAAACCCTTGTGCTCCTCCCACACTATGGAACAATCTTCCGGCTGAACTAAGGAGCACAACTTCCATTGTCATGTTTAAGAACAAACTTAAAACGTACTAATTCCGCAAAGCTTTTCATCTTCTTATTACTGAAGTGAATTCTACTTAACCATTAATTATTTATTGCAGACATAATTATGTTGGTGACATTTGCAGTAATAAACTGACCTGTGAAACTTGTAGATAATTGTAATTTTATATTTATTTTTTGAATTGAATTTTGGTACATTTTGAGATATTTTTATTGCTATTCGAATAATAATTGTTATTGGATTAAATATTAAATTTTATGTAATTGTAAATTGTAATTTATTGGTTACCACAATTTGTAATTAATTTCAATGATTTTAATATTGCATTTGTTTTAATTATCTTTCCTTTTAATTGATTATCATTCAATATTGCAGATATTGGATTTAAACTTTTAATTGATCTGTATTGTATTGTAATAATTCTTAATTATATATTATAGCTTGTTAGGTAATTACCAATATTTAATTTTTAACTGAATTTTCCAATTTTAATTATTTTAACAATGTAATTAATTATAAGTATATTTTTGTAGTTTCTCTATATAATAATTTGCAATCTAATTGTATAATGCTGCCTGTTTTATATTGTATTTTATCAATTTTTATGTATTTAAGCGTATTGAACAGCATTCTGAAAATGTGCTATATAAATTCATATTATTATTGTTATTATCTGAGATGTTCTGACCCATAAGTAAATTTAGAAACAGATATTTTAAGGCAACTGAAGTCAGATGCCAGATGTATATAATACTTTGTCTATACTTTTAGGAAAAAATTCTTTTATTAGAGCATATAGATTTGCATAGATGTATAATTATGCTGGTTATCTATGGTCAAAGATCATCCAATCACTTTTGAACAAAAAGCAAATACAGTACAGTATGTCCCAAACAATTTGAGACTAAATTTAGTTGTCTATGACCAACGGTTATTGAGATATGATATTCTACTTGGTACCTAGTGTCAAACTCAGAAACGTCATTTCCGTTTGCTAATTGGACAAAATGTTGCATTATTGCAAATAAAAACATGTTCTGAACAATTAAAGGCCAAAATTTGGTCTATGATTTATAGAGATAGTGATAGACTGTATGTTATGTAGGGTCAAAGGTCATAAATATCATTTCCAGTAACTTCTCGACAAAACACTGCATTAGTGCAAATAGAAACATGCATTTGAGACCAAAGTATGTCTCTACAATTTTCCGTTTACAAGATATATGATCTAGTCTTGTAGGCAGCCACTTTGTATTCAAAATGACGGCTATAGCAGGCGTCAGAAACTTCTTTTTTATTCTACACCATATCAGAGATATTTTGATAATAATTTGCACAACTGGGTCCCTAGCTCTACTACTCTTAAAGAGTGAATATAAAAAACAAAGCTTATATATAGGAATAATCTTTGGCTTAGATACAAAATGCAGCAACACTTCATTCAGTTCATTTAAACATAAAGTTAATATGTTATTTTTTTGCAATTTCTATAGAACTTTTGTCGTGTAGTATAAATTTTGTATTGTATTTATATGTGCATGGCCCCCAGGGGGAACAACCCTGTGTTGACCTGGGCACACAAAACACATAAGATTTTAATTTTATGTTATTCTTCTATATCAATAATAATGTTTTTGATTTTACACACTTTTTATTCCAATTTAAAGGCCATCAGCAAAGAACGGACTAGATCCTGAATACTGCAATTCTCCGCAGGTGTTTAATGATACTAGCATTCAGGTGAGCAAAGATGCTTTGTTATGCTTACTTTTGAAAGTAAATAAAATATTAATTGTCATAGTTGTTTTGTTACAATTCATTTTAGGGTTATTCCACAGTATTTAGTTGGTGAGGGTTATTTTCATTTTCAATTATTATAAATTACTTCTCAAAGTATAGATTAATGGAGAACCTCCCTGGCTATGCAGTTTTTCTCTTGTAACATTTTGAAATTTTAGAATTCTGAAAATATATGATAAGCATTTTGAGTTTGTGTTTACGATTTGTATTATGATTGTATTATGGCCAAGGCAGAAGGAGTGGGGGGGAGGGGGGTGGCCTCACCCACTGCCACATCTAATGTAATGTACTGTAGTTTGATTTATATAGCAGCTTATACCGTAGTCTCAACGCACTTGAGGTGTGGACTAGCTCCTACAATAACTTTCTTCTCCCCTAAGCGTCTCTTCATGTCTGAGCTACCCGGTAAATCGGTGCCAGGTGCTTTTGTCTGCCACAGCAGAGGCACAATGGACTAGTACACCAGGGTAACCCCCTACTCATCTTGAAAGATGTACTATGTTCTTTTAAGTGCACATGAGCCAAAGTATGTACCTGGGCCTACGGTTTATCCTTATCTGAGAAGACTTGTTCCACCACCAAAATTTATCCAAAATTTTTAGTCAAATTTTTTGCGTAGAGGATATATTTTCTCAGGCCTTGCTATACAGTCTGGCGTACCCAGTAGGTAGGAGGAGGCATAGCAGGCCACTACCTATACCAAGCCCAGGTAGGTAACCTAGCCTACCGGTTGTCCCGCAAGTTCAGACCTACAAAAGCTAAGACCTAAGATTACGAGATACCAGACCCACTCAAAATATCAGACCCTGAAAACTATGCTAGGATTTCTAGAAAATAATACCTGTATTCGAAAGCTAAAATCTGTATATTATATTGACATCGCAAGACGTATGCAAGCACAGCCGGGAGAACAGGGTTTTGTATTATGGTATGAAGGTCATGGACGAGTGTTCAGAATAAAGATTCAAAAGCCTGAATATGTCTCCAGAATTTATTTATAAAGTCAGCAACATTGCAGAGAACATGCAAAATAACACATGGTGTCAGAAAGTGAACCTCAGGTAAAGAAAAAACAAGATTTATGGATAAATATAGGCCCAAGAAACCTAGCATGCAGTGCTGCTACACGACGAGAGTGTACGCATGATCGATATGCACAGCAACAACAACGTGGGTGAGTGCATCAAATTCAACATGGCACAGTCCTCGATGTTACATTTACCAAAGCAGATACTCTAGGGAGACAAATTGGCAAAAAGTGGAAAGATTTCAAAACATATTTTAATTTATACCTGTTGGCAACATTTAAAAGGAAACCGAGTGATGAAAGAAAAATTGCCATTCTACTCTGTTCCATGGGTACCCATTACATGAAAGTATTCAAAAATTTAAAAGAGGACGATTCGAATTTGTCGAAAGATAGATTTGATGAGGTTATCAAGATGTTCGACAGATATTTTGAGCCCAAGAAATTGGTAAAGAAAGCTGTCACACTGTTTCAACAGAGAAAACAATCAGAAAATGAATCAATAGCTCAATACATAAGTGCAGTTAGGTCATTGGCTTGCGAATGTGAATTCGGCGAATTAACAGATAGGTAGGTAGCCATAAAAATCTGGAACGGTGTACGGAACGGAAAGTTATGACAAAAATTGTGGGAGGTAGATTTGACACTTAAGCAGATAGAGACGCGATGCATCACATTCGAGCAACTGCAACAAAACAACAGCAGCAGCAGCAGCAACACACCAAGTTGAAACAGAGGGCGCTATACACAAAGAAAAAGGAAATAAGAGAAAAGAAACCCAGATATAAAAACAGAGGACATTTTCAAATATCAATCAGGTAAAACTGTAAGAACAGTAACAAATTGTCTGAAATGTAACAGAACACACCCGGCAAGGCATTGTTCACCATGGGGAAAACAAAAGAAACCCAGATATAAAAACAGAGGACAGTTTCAAATATCAATCAGGTAAAACTGTAAGAACAGTAACAAATTGTCTGAAATGTAACAGAACACACCCGGCAAGGCATTGTTCACCACTGGGGAAAACAAAAGAAACCCAGATATAAAAACAGAGGACAGTTTCAAATATCAATCAGGTAAAACTGTAAGAACAGTAACAAATTGTCTGAAATGTAACAGAACACACCCGGCAAGGCATTGTTCACCATGGGGAAAACAGTGTAACAAGTGTCAAAAGAAAAACCATTTTGCCATATGCTGTCCTACTAAAAATGTGCAGTATGTAACAAATGACATGAGTCAATATGACAATGCAGTGAATTTTATGTTGATATTGAAATTCATAATGTAACTGATACTAAATCTGTATAATAATAAATACTTGTAGTGTTGTTGTGGGTCGACAATAACAATAATAAGACCTGCTAATTATGTTAAAAGAACTCTCTGGTTTATTCCAAAACTCCAACTATGTTCTAACCACGATGTTACATTGATAGTCGCCATGTATGATCTCCCTTGACCTTTATAATTCATAACTATAGATGGCGCCATACTACATTTGAGATACTACATACTTCTCCCTTTGTTTAATCAAAAGATCTCTAAACATCTTTAAAACAAATTAAATTTTAAACAATATGTGAGGTCTCACTACAAAATGAGTCTCATCGTTAGAAAATCAAAAAATGAGTTTATATAATATTTTGTTAGATCACAATATAAGCTTTACTTTGATCTTTGAATGACTTCCCTAGGATAAATAGATCCAGAGATGTGAGCATTTAAAGTTTAGGTGTATGAGAACCATGTTTTGAGAAAATCGGCCTCAAAGATAAACTAACCTGTACAAATAATAGTACTAGAGTTAGAGAATATGTGCAGAGAACAATGTTTTAGTAAGAAAAGTACAAAATCATAAAATATAAGTATCAAGTTAATATTCAAAAACATTAAAATCAAAATTTTGTAAAAATGTTGCCCTTTGACCTATTTTGGTGAATACCTCAATATGATTTCACCAACGATGCGTCTCATTTCGTGGTGAGACCTCACACATAAACTTTAAACATTTAACTCTTAACTTTGATTCAAACAAATCTTTAAGACTCTTTAAAACTTCTCAATAGTCTCTACACAAAATCATTAAAATGACTTGGGCATTTCACTACGTGACCACTTCTCGTTTTGATCTCAGAACTAACTCTCTCATCAACTGGTTTACTGAAATTTTCAACTCTCATTAACATTATCCTTATCATTGATTATTTCGTTCTGCAAATTACTAGGTACTCTTTCTCTGATCTCAGATTTGCCTCGTTCACTGATAACATCCAAACCACCTTCATTTATCACATCATTCAAACTACGTCCATTAATCACATCAGTTGAATCATGTTCATTAGTCACATCAAAACTCTTGTTCAGAACATGTCTTAAGTGTTTCACAATTCTTTGAATAATTTTACCATTTTCCTTATTAACCAATTCATTTGCATTATCTCCTACTTGTTTCAAAATAACATAGTGTGTTCTAAAGTAAGTTGGATCAAGTTTACTTTGTTTGCAACAAACACTAAGTCTCCTATCTTAAAATCATGCATTTTTGCCTGTTGGCGAGTGCCGGCATAAACCTTCATCTTAGCCTTATGGGTCTGGTTATGGTTCTTTAATTCTGCGGAAATATCAGTTTCCTGTCGATATCGTGGCAACTTAGTCTTTATGTTTCTGCCAAATAGCAATTCAGCTGGCGCTTTATTCATAGATCTATGTGGAGTAGATCTGTAAGCCATAAGTATCTTTGGTAACACGCTTTGCCATACTTTACCTTCAGTTTTGGCATTTTTGATACATTTCTTAAGGTAGCGATGAAACCGTTCAATTTTCCCATTCGTTTTAGGGTAATAAGGTGAAGCAAGTAGATGTTTAATGCCACATGCGTTAAAGTATTTTTCAATTTTGGCACTTATAAACTGTTTTCCATTATAAGTTAAGACCTTATCAGGGTATCCAAATCTTGCGAATACCAATTGTAAACATTCAATAATAGCATTCAAATTTATCTCTGCCTCAGGGTAGGAAGAGTGTAATCAGTAATTGTTAAAATGTACTCTCCTTACTCTGAGGTCTGTAATGTTTGATCTTTACGCAGCGCCTGGTTAATTTCGCAAGCAGAGCAGTTACGAATCATGCTTTCAACATTAGCATCCATTTTCAGCCAATTGTATTTATCGCGCAGCACTTGTTTGGTTCTAACCATTCCTTGATGTGTTTCATGTGCTAAGCTCAAAACACTTTGTCTTAACTTTAAAGGTACTACGATTTCCCCTTAATAACAAAGAATCATAAACAGATAATTCACATTGGGTAACGTAATATGGTTTCAGTTCATCTGTTACCAATTTGGCCACTTTCCTGTCTCCATAATATTAATTTACATTTGACAGAATAGGGTCTTTCTTAGTTTCTATTTTAAAAGCATTAATAGTCAATGCATCAAGTTCTGAAGTACACAACTGCACAGTCTGTCTAATATAGTCCTCTGCAATAGTGTTCGAGTCTGAGCATGTCAATGGAAGGCGTGACATTGAGTCATGGAGTTATCCTGGATTCCTCCTATATCATCTATAGGCCTATCTTTTTTTTTTATTACTATTATTATTGAGCTATAAGGCATCTACTTAAACTCTTGACAGAGCATCTGCTACAACATTCTCCTTTCCACTGATGTGACGAATCTCCAAATTCATCTCTTGAACTGCTAAGCTCCATCTCAACAAGCGTTGGTTCTTCTGCTTCATCTTAGCCAAAAGCGTCAGTGGATTATGGTCTGTCCAAACGACGATGGGAAACGGAGTAGTTCCCAAATAAACATCAAAATGTTTCAACGCAAACATCAAGCCCAATGTCTCCTTTTCTGCATTAGAGTATCGTTTCTCATGAATGTAAAATTTCTTTGAAAAGAAACACA